GGGGGTGGAACAATAAATACCTTCAACTTCGTAGATTTAATGGCCAAATCAAGAATTCTGCAAATAAAACACAAAGGAAAGTAAATCAAGGTGTCTGAAGTTCATTTTTTGCTCCTAATGCATTAAACTTACGGGTGATCAGGTCGATCCCAGCGCCCAAAACAAAGATCAATGCCACCCATGAAGACGACCGATTGATCCACCACCACCAACTTCTCATGATGTGACCAATTAAATGTGCGATCTCTGAAATGACTAGGATGACGAATCACCTAGGGGACAATAATGTATCGTAATTATCTAATTGCTAGAGTAGGACCAAATTGTTCAATTTTAAAACATCAAAGTGTTTCCAATGCCACATTGTAATCACAAGGTTAATTTTAGGTAGAATTCGCATGTGTGTGTTCCTCTTGATAGTACCATAGGAAGATATGGAAGCGTCCCATTAGCAATCACCCCCCCCCCCCAACTGCCTGACCTTCAAAGCCCCAAGATATTAGGCAAGTATGCTCAACCGTTTCACACACACATTAGGCGAATATGACAAGTAACAAGAAGTGAAGGGTACAATGCAACCCAATAACTGTTGAGAGAATAGTATTTTAATCATAATTGGTGCATTTTGTTAGATATTGCTCTCTTATCGATTAATTGGTGTTCGGAAATTCATGAAACGAATTTTCCTAGCAATTACTGTGAGTATAATGATTCGCTAAATTTTCTGTAATAAATCCTCCCTTATCGATACAACCGCAAATATAGATTTGTTAGTAAGTTCATTGTCAAAACTGGAATTCCACTCCTCTCGTTGCATATTTAAAAAATATATTCGTTAATGATTTAGGTCTGAATATCTCAAAAAAACGAATACCTTATAAATCTTTCCGATTCTTCTAGGCTACCAAGGCATTGGAACTGAGTCTTGCGACAACAAAGCTAAATCTAACCAATCGGATTAAATCAGAATTCAAGAGAAGGCGTTCCCATTTAATTAGTCTTCACTTAATTTTACCCCCTTTACTTGATTTTTTTAAAAATGTTTACTTAAAAAGATTATTTCGCCACTTACGTGAATATTTTTGTGTAGAGACGTAAGTTTCTTCATTGTGTATCGACTGTTAAGACTTAAAACCAATTTCACTTCTCGGTAGATTAAAATGCAAATTCGTACGCCTTGTTTCTGCAAATATGCAGTAATTTCATAAATACTTGAGTAAAAATACAAGATTCAAAATTTTCAATAAAAAAATCATTGCTAAAAATGACATAATGAACAAAAATTTAAATAAGCATTTTTTAGTTAGTGAGCAACGAGTGTTAGGTATTGAGCAGAACCTCGAATTACTATACTGTTTGTTTATATAGCACTGATCAATACATCAAACTTTAGAAATGAGTCGGTGCGTGTGTACCGGTGTGGATCAATTTGGTCTTTTTGTGAGCACCGAGTATTTTACTCAAGTTCACTTTAATGTACAGTCAAAGGTAGAGAGAAGAACCCAAACATTAAAAATGATAACCTATGCGTGTAAAATATCAAAACCCAAAGATGGCATCATATATTTTAACCCCATATCGAAGTGTTCGGTCTTTAGTCTAATGGGAAAAAGGAAAAACAAGTATGAAATGTTGAACGGAAAGAGAAACCATTAGGTTTAATAGCCGAATCAATATGCAATTCTCCTGTATTAGCCTGAGAAATATTTTCAAGGCTGAGATGAAAGGCACTTTGTTTGGAAAATTTTATACTTCAAGATGGAGATTCTACACATTTTTGTCAGAGCCAATGGTTTAGAGGAGTGGAGGTGTGAGGGTGGGAGTAATTGAAGCCTTCCAGTGCATAGGATTTCTTAAATCCGATGTGCCAACAACATTTCAAGTGTCAGCGTGCTTAAGTTAAAAAATATGAAAAATATGCAGTTTTCAACTGCGAGCTGAAAGCAAAAAAGGGATTCCCCTTCAGCATCTGAAAAATGAAGTTTAAGGCTAAAATTAATTTCGCTAGATTTGATTAACTCTACCAACTCTGAACTTGGCAAAGTAATTAAATTCTTTTAGTATATTACCGCTTTCCGTTTAAGTAGCTTATCCAATCGCCAATAATCATTAATATACGGTCGTTTGAGGTAGATTTCAGGCGAGAGAAACCAATCTGCAATGAGAATCTCATATCGAGCGGCTTCCATTGCATCTGCTACAGCAGCCATGTAGGCAGCGCCGTCAATACCGCTAAAATGATGAAACAATGAGCGAAACAGTAAAAGTCAGAACAAGGTAGCGAAAGGCCCCAGTCTCAATGACCTACACTAGGATTTGGCTATCCGTCCTCATAGGAGCAAAAGAACCATGGTCATTGGACACAGTGTAATCCATCGCCTCATTGGTCAATTGGGCTGCGTTTACCGCTCCCGCCCAATCAAGAGCTGAGCCGAAATTGGATGGCGTGAAAGTTACTTGACTTAAACACAATGGCAAACCAATAAATTATTTGATTAAAATTTAAATTATTAAGTAAAACTTAATGGATATTCGTTACCTAATATAAACCATTAGAAAGATCTGAAATAATTATAGCTTTTACTTTACAAATTTCCTTAAAATTATCTTTAATTTTTAGCCAATTCATAAGGAATTTCGTCTGAAGAACAGTAGAAACAAGCACCTAACCACGAAGAGAAATGCTAAGAATGATTGGCTTATATGAACGTTCGTGGAGAGACTCTTTGGAGAAGCGTTCATTCTGCCATCATCACTTTTGACCCGAATTAACCATTAGAGCGGGGTAGTTACATCGTGACCTCGGACTTGACAAGCGCAAATGTTGGTCAGGGGAAGGAAGAAGGAGAACATTTTAAACGTTACAGAGAGTTGGCTTCTAAAATCTCCAGATTTAATTATCGTCGTTTAGTTGTTCACCTTAGTGAACTAATTTGCCTAATTTTGGCCAGGTGCCTCAGTTAATCGAAGACCGAAGGACATGAAAGATCCTACTTAGGAAACTGTTTTTTCTCACCTGATGAGCCTAGGTTTTTAAGCTTATAATGTGCTAATATATATAAAAAATAGTTGATCACTTCTCTCCAAGTTGAGTATAAACTCCGACTAATTGACACCTCTATAACTACACGAGTGTTTTGTCAGTTGATATAGAACAAGAAAAATAATTTTCGTTTGTCCTAAAACGGTGAAAAATAGGGGGGACAAATGACCTGGTTTTAACGAAAAGTGAAACTGTCAAACAAAGTGACTTAACTCTGTTCGAACGATTACTGATAACTCATAACTCCAGAAATTTCAACTATTTCCTGCTTTAGTTGCCTGTGCACTGATCTGAAAGGTGCGTAAAATTCTTCTATGCTATTCATAAATTTTCAGACGTGTAGGCGCATACTTGTGCAAGTTTCTGACTTGAAGAAATTCCAAATTTCCAATTTTCACAATCTTCCAATCAAAACACCGATCCATGAGAAGAACTTTACAGAATCTCCAACGCCGATAGTGGTACCAGGAGTGACCTTCATCTCGAGCTTTGCCTTCCCCTTTCCCCTTCAACTTTCGTTCACTTCTCCTGTTCCCATTCTCCTCATCACTGTCTGAATCAAAAGAGACATATCCATCTTCAGTTTTTCCTTGGTCGACTTTGTGCGGCTTCATTACAATTAGATAACTGTCTTTCAGGATTATCCATCTGGAAGGGTTTTAAAAAAAGTTTGCCTGAAAGTGAGCGAACTTGAAAGCTTGGTTACTATTTACTCCTCATCTTTGGTTTTGTAGACAATTAACCGACATAAAGCACATTACTAAGGAATATAATGTGAAATTGGAAAAACGAACGACTTTGCTGCAACAGAATACGAATTATTAATTTAACAAACTTGAATAATGGTGAATTGTACTGGTGATAAATTTTTTTCTAACCTGAAACCGGCCATCTTTAAATGTCCTCAAATCACATTAAGAAAGTGATATTAAAGTTACTATTGTATATCCTATTTGAACATAATAATCTGTTACTTGAAATAATACAAGTGCAACTCTCATTAATGTAAACATGTAATCATAAAATTAATCTAAAGTATATGCCCAAAAGGTTAAAAATTTTGAATCTGAAATTTCCTTAAAAATGACAAAATAGAACATTTTGAGATAGTTAAATACATTATATGAAACATTAAACTAATATCGGTGAGCTTTTAATCAGCTTCTACTTCTCTTCTAATATGACAATGCAAGACAAGGTTTTCTATTTGAAAAGGCATTGAGATGAAGCGTTTATATTATTCTGAAATGCCATTTAATTAAATAAACTAAGAATCTTATTTCGATCAAATATTTATAAATAAGTCCAAGCATCCGACAGCTGTCATCAAAAAGGCAAAAAATATATATATCTTTGAATGGGCCTTTCGCTTTTTTATTTGAAAAAAATACTGACACTTATTAATAGGTTCGTGATTGCATTTGCCATTTAAAAACATATGAAAAATAAAAATATTTTAAAAGATCAAAATTGTATGCAGTATAAGTTGGTTACAATTTAACTTCTAAATTGATCTATAACTCAATTGAACAAATATTCGTAAGTAGAAGAGTGCAATTATTAATATGAAGAAAGCAATGCACTCTATGTGTAAGTTTTAGACAAAAATCACTATTACAGTAAAACAAAACACATAGATATTAAATAATAAAAAATTAAATTATAATTTAAATGCCACACCTATGGAAATTAGTTCTACCGAAGTTTAGTTTTCCATAAATTTTCCAACTAAGCTTCAATCAAATTTACTCACCCGGTCTCAAAATGATACTCGAAAATAGCCAACTGAAGATAACTGTGACCTTTAAATTCATTAATATTACTCTGATGTGCTAGTCTTCCAAAGAGAGGTGGAAAAGATCTCGTAATTATCCCACTCTGAAATCATTTCAGTCAGCATAGCTGGTTACAACTTGTACAGGTTGTGCTTTAATGAATATTGAATTCGTCTGATTTGAATTTGTAATACTACATTGTAGACATCGATGCATAATTGGCAGTCATTTATACCAAATAATGAGTAAAATTATGAATAAATTCAGGAATATAAGTGCAAATGCACCTATGTACCTACTCACAATGAAGGCGAATAAATGGTGAACGTCAAAGAAGTACTTCAAATGAAAGGAAATCATTTGTAATTAATTGGTAGTAGAGTAGTTGTTGCGTCATTAATACTTCATCTTTGTTATGACTAAGTTCATATATGCAGAGTAGCATTCCATTACGGAATCGCGTAATACCTAAATTCACCCTTTAACATAGCTAATTATTTCGTCATGGGGTGTGCGATAGACTTACCTCCACGTGGTGCACCCTGGGCAACGTATACTCATACGGCAAAAAAGTCTATAAA